CAAAAATCAGGACTGTCCCTATAAAATCAGGACATCTGGTCACCCTACATACAGCATCAGAAGCATTTATACCGAGAAAGTGGCTGCTGTGCTGACATTTTTTCTCCTTGTAGAGTGAGGGCTTATGTCTAAGAAAATAAGCTGTATACTCCAGTGAGTACTCTTGCTACAGCGCTTTGAATTCTTCACATCACAAAATCATTTATATTGATTTCATGACTAAATAAAGGAATGGAAATATGTTTCTCTTCATAATAAATTCTCTTTTTTTCCAGTTTAAATAAATATTTGCGCTCATGGTTTAGGGATTGGTTGCACTGACAACTGAAAGCCTCTATTGATTCACATCCCTGGCTTGGTGAAAGAGCCTCTCAATATAACCTTTCCCACAGTGCCCTTCCACAATCCCTTCAGCTCTATCCTGGAAGGACAGCTCTCTCTAGGGCAAGAGGTAATTAAAGTCTCACACTGGTTCACTCCTGAAGAGATTGCATATTTTCCACTCTTCACGTAAGAGTTGCCACTGTAGATATTTAATATGACAAGAGTCTTGTGCAGCACAAGCATGTTTTGAGCACTAAGCAGGTGCTGTATTCATGAAGGTTTTGTGACTCAGTTTACAGAGCCACCTCACTGAGACTAACAGGAATTTAAACATTACCAATATAAAGTCATCTGAGCCAGATTCATCCTACCTCTTTTCAGAGTAAATTTCAATCATTGAGGGACAAGTCCTGAAGCAACCTCCATGCCTGTGCACCTGGCAGTGAAAATGGTAGGGGATATGTAAGGGGTGCAGAGGTCAACTTCATGCCAAAGTGCAGGTGTAGAAAGGGGAAGCTAGAGGATCAGCTACTCCTTTGTTTTTTCTCCTTCTTCTCCCTCCATATGGAAATGATGTGGCCTCAGTGCTACAGTAATGGCCATGGAGCGGCCTCAGAACCTCATCACTCTTACATGAAAGTTCTATAGAATTTAACAGGCAGAGCTTCTGGTGTGCTGGCCCCGCTGGGGGTGGGAAAGGGCAGAACTACATCTCTGCCTCCCCCTCCCCACCCACATTCAGGCAATTTGCTTCTCTAAAGGGGAGCAAAGAGCAAGAAGTCCTTGGGTATCTCAGACAGCAATCCCATGGTAACTTTGGATGTCTGACTTTGACAACTGTAGGCTTATAAACTGTATAGATTCAGTCCACCTCTAACCAATTACAGAAATGTGTTAAAATGCTAAATGCTAGCAGAAATGAGTAGCTATTAAATGTAGTCTTTTATTTCAGTCGGTGCAGGATTTGGTCTTAAATTAGATAGCTGGCTAGTAATGAATCTACTGTTCTTTGTGTAAGCAACATTAGCTGTGTCTCTTGAATTATTTACTGCAGTATGCTTTTCAAGTATCTAATTATACAATTTTGCTTCATTTCTTTTGGTGACACTGTGATAAACCCTTTCTGTCCTTAAAAGTTTTGACTGTACTCTTTAGAGAACAGAAGTAAGGTAATGTTTCAGCTAAGAAATACACCCAGTATGAATTAGTAGATTTTGAATTACTCTGTCCTGTTGTATGTGGAAAACTTTTGTTGTTTTATCTTAACTATTCCACTTGCCTAAATTCAACAGAATTTAATACAAAAGACGACCAGGTTCAGAGGAATTCACCACAGTACTAGTACAGTATAATAGTCACATTACTCTGATGGAGTAAGAGAGATATTTCACACACATGGGTGTATTTGAAAAGATATACACAAAGAAGTTTCATCTTTCTCAATGAAATTTTACCTTTTATTAATTATTTTTCATAGTTAGACCTACTACGTTTGAGATAATGATTTAAAGGACAGGGAACAGCACAACTGGGATCTAATAGTAAACAAACCCCACTCCTGCACTTCTCACTGAAATGGAAGATTCAATAGACCCACAAGGAGAAAAAGAAAGCCTGGGACTGCTATAGCAGCAATTGGCACAAAATATGTCCAGCTCATACAGAAGGCTGTACAACATAGACCTTAAAAGGCTGAGAAAGTTAATGAGAGACTAGGGAAACAAGAAGGTAAAAATACCCAACTGAACTGTCTAATCAGACAGCAAAATCTGATAAAGTATTCTTATATTGAAACTGAATTATTACAGAATGAAATGCAGGATTGTGCTATCAAACTTGGTCTCAAAAGAGAGAATTGAGCTAACTGTTTTTTAGGAATGGTGGATCCCTGATATTTTGGATTTGAAACAGAGGAAGATCCAATTACTAATGAATGTGTATCCTAGATCCCAAGGAAAAATCAAGTACAGGATCAAGAATAATTTGATAAGTCTTTTTTAAATGAGGATTGAGTATGTTAACACCTAATGGAAAAGAAATTCCATATGTAAAAGGAATAAAACTTTATGACCTTGGATACAGCATCGAAGGCAAGCAGTGACTTCTTTTACTTTATGTAGACTAAAGTCAATGTGACTGCTCATTAGGCAAGTGCTTAAATAATTTGCCGAACTAGGGCCATTGTCTGTACTGTAGATTTTACTCCATGTTATTGTTCCTGTTCCTGGCAAATCCATGAAAGGATGGTTTGTTATGAATTGTGTTGGTCACGAAGATGTGCCTAAAAAAAGTACACAGTTGCCTCTGAAGTCACCTGAAAGTATGTAGCTCAAATTCCCAACAGACAGTCTGGCAATACGTTACAATTACTAGTGGTCAATCATTATTAATTCTTATGATAACCACTGTATTCTTGATATTAATGTGGATAGTAACATGTAATGCCGTAGACATTCAAATAAAGTTTAGAGAGCTCAAGTTTCATTGTTTAAAAGAGGGTAACTTATATCAAAGTTTCATATTGTGGATGAAGAATGAAAAAATTAGCACTTAAATTCATATCCTCAAACTATTTATGCTGCCTGGGTAACTCCACTTTATATTTACCTTTTGAAACAAAATACATTTTAAACAAAAATAATAATTCTAACAGATGAACTTCAGTCTTATGCAAATGTCCTTTGTTTTGTGCTCTAGTGAGCAAGCTACTGTACCAATACTTTTGGCATTAGTACAAGACTGAATCCATGGAAGCATGTGTGTATTTACACAAAGAGGCTTCTAAGCTACAAAAATCCCTCTTGTTTGGTTACACTAATTTCCCTTGAATGAAGTTTGTATGCAAGCCAAAACAATGGTAGTTATCCTGTCCTCTAGAGCTCATTCCCAACTGAACAATGTGAATAATTGAAAACTTCCTAGCTAGTCTTGTAAGGCTCCTCTTTCCTAAGTCAGGGGACTCATGCTGTTATTTTTACTTCCTTTGCCTTAGAAAAAGGACCTTTGATAATTTGTTATAAAAAGTTTAAATATTTATAACTTGTAACTTTATTAGTATTTTAATGAAGTCTTCAGAGTTTTGTGGGTTTTTTGTAATTCATTTTCTGGTCTATTTTAGTCTGACTAGGGGATGAAAACTAAATATCCCATTGTGATATT